TCAAAATAAAACGTAGATGTTAAAGGGTTGAGGATGTTGTGTAGATACTTAGCTAGGTTATATCCTGGAGAGTTGATGCAGCTTACCACTGGTCTAAAGTGTAGTCCAGATTTGTATGTCTTCCTTAAACAATACACTTCGAGCAGGTCCTGAATTTCAAACGTATCCGCATCGATCTGCGCGTGCGCAGAATAGATACGGTGGTTTCGTTGCGTTGCGTTGTCCGTCCGTATCGTTACGGGCCTCGCCTCGTATCCGTATCCGAAAACGTATCCCAATCATTTGACATTATTATGAGATCTTTCTGTCGGTTATCACTAAAATATCTTTAACAACACAAAGACCGTAGTAGATAAAAATAAAACCTACAAACACAGCCACAAAATCAATACAACACTTTTTGAGATTAGAAGTTTCATCCAAGGATACGATCCTTTACGTAATGTGTGGCCATGTTTAAGAAAACTTCAAGGCGGTCAACGTAAGTCGATGCGTTTACGGATGCGAATACGGATACGTAGAAAAAATTAGGGGTTGCCTAAAGTGTCTAATATAACTTAGGCGGGACTGGGTTGTGGCGTTTTAGGCTCCTTTCTCCTCTGCTTGTTATAAAATTGTTGATTCCTAATTCTGTTAGTTGGTCATGGTTTGTTATTTGTTTGTTGGTTCTCGATTGATGTGTTGGTAAATGTTCGTGTCACTCAGGATTTCTAGTTTTTTTTGGTGGTATTCAAGTTTATCCATTAGGACTGTGGAGTTTCCCTTATCTGATCTGCTAACCATTATGTGAGGGTTTTCATTGAGGAATTGTTTTGTTCTTCTTACTCTATTGATTAGAGACTTCTGTGGGGTTGATCTATCATCCAGGTGAAAATTAGTGATTATGTTTGTGGTCTGACCTCTCAAGCTCTCCTTGTGTTCATCTGCCATTGTCTGTGCTCGTATGCAGTATTCAAGATCCTCTATTATGGTTTATATGGAAATCTCCTTATTGGTTAAGGGAAAACCAAATTTTGGACCCAGGCTTGCCTACCCTTTTTTGGAATGGGTGGTTGTCCGATTATGTAGGGTACAAGCATTTAATGCTTCCACTCAAATGTTTTGGGAGGATGTTGTTTTGTCTACACTTTGATACGAAAATTGTTCTATTCTTAAGATTTGCCAGTTTTATGACGTCCTTCGACCATGTTTTCACAAGTCTTTGTGCCTGTTCTCCAAAACTATACTTGTAATGTTAGAGAAGAAAGCCGCCTCATTAATTATATTTATTTCGTGTCCCTATTATCTAATATGGTAGAAATTTCTTGGGTTTAAGGATGGGCAGGTAAACCAAATTCCAAAAAAAAACTACTTAGCTTTCGGCGACGTTTCGGAACTATATTTTTCCTTTTCCAAACCCTGGAACAGGAGAAATAAGGCACATGAGACCACATAGTAAGTAACATTAAAATGATAGTTATACAATCAACGATTTTGTCAATCTTAGATAACTTGGTAATGAACCACCTTATAACAGAAGTTTTAAAAAAACTACCTTCACCCCATTCCCTCTATATATGTATATGTGGATGATACAAAATTATCAGTCCCAAGCATGAACTGAACCTGACACTAAATAATTTCAATAAATTTCACAAATCACTCCAGTTCACCATGGAGATAGAGACAGATAATAAGCTATGCTTCCTGGACATGGAAATTCACCACAAACCTAATAGTACCTTGCTGACAAATTGGTATTCTAAACCGACTAATTCAAGTAGAATTTTCAATTACCTATCCAACCACCCAACATCCAATAAAGTGGGCAAAATAAGTGGGCTTCTACATAGAGCTCTTGATTTGAGTGATCCAGGCCAACATTGAAAAAATTAAGAAAATCCTATCAAATAATAATCATTTATTAAACTTTATCAACCGAAGCATAGAAAGATTTAAAAACAAAACCTGTAACCCTATGAAAAAAAAATCAAATATTTTACATTCCCCTTCATAGATGGCCTCTCGAAAAAAATTGGAAAGTGTTGTCAGAAATCTCAGGTTTCAATAGCCTTTTACAACCTCAAAACTACAAATTCTCTGTTTACACATATCAAAGATAAGGTACCCCAGGGTAAAAAGAGCTCTTTGGTCTACAAAATCCCATGTGAATGTGGAAAATGCTATTATTTTTTTCTCATCACGCACTATATTTAGTCATAACTGGCCACAGCGTAATCAAAGTTTTAAGCCAGTGGCCAATGGAATAGCTTTTCGTTTTTTTTCGATGGTGCCCTCTTGAATTTGATTGGTAGAAGATGCTCATATTCCTCATACGTCATCGTTTGGCGCATTTTGCGAATTTAAATTTTTTCCATCATTGAAATGCCTTTAGAAAATTCATTAAAGCTCGTAGATCATTTTTTTTCGGCAAATATAATCCCTTATTTAAGGTTTTATGCTTGAATTACGTATTTACATTTTATTGAAAGAGCTCATTGAGTTTGTTTGCCTAGTCCTAGAACCAACGTAGAATCAATTTGAAGCTTCTAGTAGTGATGTTTGACTGCGGATATTCTGCAACGTTGACTTGGCTGCGATGGCGACTTTTGATGATTTTTTCTATGACAGAACCATTCAGATAAAAATCCAGGGATTTTTTTGAAAATTTTTGATAGTTAAACGGCAGTTTGTCATAGAAATAGAATAGAAATAGAAAAAAAAGCTCGTATTGCTACAACAATAGAAAATATGCAGAATAAACAAACATTTTCTCCACTACCAGAACAATATCAATTCAATTGTATTTTCAACAATAATTTATTATTTTTCCAATTTAGCAATGATCTGTTTTTGAATTCCAGCACCAACACACCAACTGAAATTTGCGCAATATTGTTAATATAACAATGTTATTAAATGGAACGTAATTTGACTGATTATCAAAACTGTATATATTTATTTATCAGTTAATCCCCTAGTGGATAAATAATTTAATATTAATTCTGATTCATGGAGTTTAATTTGCTAACATTATTATTGACGGAAGTTGAAAAATATATAGCCCTCTTTAAATTTTATAGCTTCCCTATTTTATTTCTGTCAGTTTAAAGTTTACTCTGGCATTAAAAAGTTTTTTATTTAGCGCCTTTGGAGCGTTTATTAACCGTAAAATTGGTTTTGGATTTAAGTTAGTTCAATTTAAAAGTTTGCATTGAGTAGAAAGTGCGGTCAATGGAAGTGTGAACGTAACTTGAAAAGCAGTTTGACTTAAATTAGGCGAATGACAAAAAACATCAGTAACATAATAGTGTAAATATTTTTTAGAGGACCTCAAATTGTATAGTTTGAAGCACCCGCGTTAAATGTAATTATTATTCTTAATTAAAGCAATATGCCACATCCGCCTACAACCGATTAAGAGGCGTCTGCGTAATTTCTTAATGATTCGTCTGGGTGATAGGACTAAGAGCTCACTCTCCGCCCTTTTTTACGGCAACGCAAACATTTGCTCGGGTTTAAACCTAATCTGCAAACTAAACGCTGAGGCTATTATTTATCTTTTTTATTACTGCCGTTAAAGCGGCCCTAACTCAAACCGCATTTTCTCTACGACGCTTTGGGATTAACCCCGATCCGTGGGGCACTGAAAACTTAAATAAATATTTATATATACGTATGTGTATAAACTTCGTTATAAAGCTCTTTATATGGAACAGGGGAATTATTTTTTTTCTCTGAGCGAAAGTTAAACATGCGTGGGTTACGGGAAAGATTCAGAATTTTCACGAAACTTTGCAAAATTTAAAGGGCTTATGAGAATAAGAAATTACCGTTGTCTAAGCTCCACAACTTCATTAGACGGATTAGGAAAATCGCATCACAAATTGATTCGATAATTTAGTTTACCAACAGAGTTTGGGCGTAGGTTGATGTAAGGCCTGATGGAATAAAAACTTATATTGAAATCTCAAAAATACTGACATCTTTGTATAAACCTAACTTGTTCCTGACAATGCCGTATAAACGCAGCATAAAGATGGATGTGCCTTTATCCCATCGATCAATTTGATCTGTCTGTTCTTGATCGAAATATAGCGCAACGCCTCAGGCCCGACATATTTTTGATTTATTCGTCCTATAGCAAAAAAAAAATACTCTTCTGTGACAGTGACATACATCTGCGGTTTATATTAAAATATCACGGTGTAGATTGGACGCAAATATTTTGAGAAAAAAATCGTGGTTTTTCATTGAATTTCTGAAAATATGCAGAAGACTCTTTTATGATATTTATTTGGAAACAAATCTGTGATCAAATGTAGGATTTCAGTGCTGCATGCATTAGAAACAATCATATCGACAAACCAAATCTGCTACCCACACAAACAGTTCACCAAGCTTTACGTCATGCTGGGAATTAATAAATTGAACAGGAGGGGATATATTTCCAAGTGTATGTATTCACCGGCGTTAATCCAATCAATAATTGGAGAAGGGTACAAAATGCGAAGGAACGAATCGCAAAGACGGTGAAGGAAATAAACAGGTGCTTAAGTGATTGGGACATGTTGACAAGAACATGATTGAGAAGAGCGTGTGAACTGGGATTTATTAACACTGGTTACTTCAAATAAAATGGATATTATTCGGAAAATTTTTGAGGACTCTCCTTTAATCAAAATAAACATGTATTTGCTCAAACATATTTATTTACTTATTTATTATGATTAATATTTACAAAGTCAGAAACATCAAATAGTAGGTGAGAGAAAAAACAAAAACAGAAATACAAATATATACCTATACAGTTTAACAGTGCCTTACACCTACTCCTTACTCTTTTTTTAAAACTGTACATAAACAAGTCGACACTTCCAAAGTTTGCATCATAATTCTTCAGGAGCCTCTCGCAAAATCTCTGTGTTGCATAATTAGTTATGATGTCGGACATGGAAGACCTGTCTTGATCTTGCTGTTCTTTGCGAGCTGGAATAGTCCACTTTTTCAAAGCTTTAAACTCAATCATCGTCATCTTTAAGAATAGGAAGATTTGTTGAAGAAAAATGCATTTGTTGCAGCTCGTTGATAAACATGCCAGACATCAGTGCTCCTGCCACTGGTGATGAAAGATCCGATGGCACCAGCAAGCGGTCGTCGTCGTTCCAACTCACGATTGGCAAATTAAAGTCCCCAGCAATGAGAAACTTAACCCGCTTATGCTTTCTTTCAATAATTTCTGGGATATCTGCAATATTCTGATATGATTGAATGGTTGAATTCGGGGGGAAGTAGACACATACAATAATGATTGTTGTTTCGTTTTTACGAACCGTGACACATAAATCGTCAAACGAATGATCATCACAACATTCCGGCAACATCCCTAAATCAAAAAGGTCCTCACGGCGATAAGCGTTACACCACCCCTAGTGCAATTCTGAGCTTCATAGTTTCTGGCCGATCCGTAAACTCTATAATTCGAGTCAAATAATTCTGCATTGTATATGTTCTCGGTAAGCGATGTTTCGGTAATTATTATTGTCGAAATCGGTTGTCTTTACTGCGGTAACCGTTCAGAAGTTTTAGTTCGCAGTCCTCCAGCATTCTGGTACTAAGCAGTAAAGACCGTTGACTGAGGCATTACACGTGAGTCGCTAGTCGGGTCCGATGGGATAAGAAATCTTTCCGTCAAATTCACCTCCCGTTCTCTCAGTTTCGCTTCTCCCTGTACTTTACTATCCATTATCAGTTTCCGTTTACAAGAATCCATTTACTTGACATTGTTTTCTGATTGCTTGATTCCAATCCTTCAATAATTCTTTTGCTTTCTTCCGTTCTCTTCTTCATATTCACCATTGTGTCTTTGTATTCTTCGATTTCTTTCTTTTACGTTTCCTCTGCCTCCATAACTTAATTTTCTTAGGCGACAGAGTTACCTTTTATCTTCTTGAAATGCTCTGTTAATTCTTTTAATTCGTGTCGCTGCTCAGCAATAATATCCTGTAATTGCCCGATCTGTTTTTGTAAGGCATAAGCTGGGTCCAAAGTAATACCTTTGAAAGCTTCAAAGTCCGCGAAAACTGAAATCTAATTGAAAAGTTTATGATTGAAGTTGACCCTAATTGACTGTCCCTGATAACCACTTAAAAATAGCTTGAGAAATGTTCTATGTTTAGGGTGGAATAAAGCAAATAATATACTAAATATAGTAAGTATTTTATACATACATACATACATGCTGCTGGATATTTTGACTGTTTTCATTACTATTTTCGTAAACAAAAAAATAAATAAAATGGCATAGCAAAATCGTGTCATAGAAATAAATATATGGTGGAAAATTGTAGAGCTCAAGATCTAGTTGAATTTGAAGGAAACTTACGTTGATTGAATGATTTAAAAGGAGAGCCCATACAGGCAGCAAGTGGACGCGCATGTGGTCCATTGCGCTATCCTCCGCTTGGTGCAGCCCTGTCTTACCTTAGGAGCTCAAAACTTTTATAAAAGTTGCAGACCCGCTCGGCCGGACATGCTTTATTTCATCAGCTCCCAGGAAACTGTACCCGAGGTATCATAGTCAGTGACTGATAAGGACGTTACATTCGCAGACTATATGCTAAGTAGTTTCATCTATTTCGCTGCACAACCTGCATTCCGTCTCATTACTGAGTCCGAGTTTGTGCAGGTGGTATTTGACCACCCAGTGTCCGGTCACTTGTGGTGGCTCTTAGTTGGCTCCTGTTTACTTTTAGGAGGCTGTTTGCGTTTTTGCAGTTTGAAAGACCTTGTATAAAGATTCTTGACTGTCTGCCTGAGGCTTTTTTTTGGTAAGGTGAGGAAATGCGCCTTATGCACACCCAATACGCCAGAATTGGGTAGTGTGGGGCTCTTCCTCTTCGTAGTGCAATGAAGAGGACATGCCCACTAAAAACCTCACCGTGTGCAAGAGAAGTGTACTCTGATCCCTTGTTTCCCAATTACGGGCCTTCCGACCTATTTTATTGGTATAGCTAGTTTTCAATGCCTCTTACTCCCAGGATCAAGGCATGTGCCTCTGTCTGTTGGTCGATTAGGCTTACTATCTGGGACCTCCAGTGGTTGTTAGTCCGGGGGCAGCTGCTGCCTCAACATCCTGAATATGTCCTTAGGTCTGGAGTAGTATGTTTTTACAAGTTCTCTTTCTTCCTCCGGGTCGTATGGCGTCAGGTTCCGTAGTTCTTGGTTAGGATGCAATGCCAGGTTCCGATGCAGTTTTTCCGCTTTTTTCAATATGTTCTGCTGAATTACATACAGTCCATTGTAAGTCTCTTTGAATATCAGCGTTGCGTATGAACCATGGTGCATCTACAGCCATTCTTATTCATTTATTTTGAGTAGCAACCAATCTTTTCATTTGAGTTTTACAGACATATCCCCATGTGGAGGAGGAGTATGCCAGTTGGGCTCTTGTTACAGCTTGGATAATTTGAATCTTTGTTCTGATACTCAGAGTCCCTTCCTAGTATAGGGTACAGTTGGGAGATAGCAGCCCTGGTTTTCATCTTTGTATTGTCAATGTGGGATCTCTATGTGAGGCCTTTGTCCATGTGGAGGCCAAGATACTTCACTTCTAAGCTCCATGGAATCCTATCGTCACCAATTCTAACTGTGGGTCCTAATGTCATTTTTCATTTTTGGAAAACTATTGCTTGTGTTTTTGTGTTATTAATTTTGATCTTGTTTATTTTGCTCCCTTCTTCTGTCATCCATGTTGCTTTGGAGTTTCCTGCTTATAATATTAGAATTAGTAGCCCTTGACAAGATGGCCGTGTCATCAGCAAATATTTCAGTCATGATTTGGGGGTTCCTAGGAATATCGCTTATGTACAAATTATACATTATTGGTTCTAATACTGAACCCTGCGGAACTTCAGCTCTGATTGTCCTCAAATGTCCTACTTGAAAGATAACTGAGTATTAACTGGCATGTTGTTGTGGCTATATTCCATCCAATCATCTTTTCTATTATTTTGTGGTGCCAAAGTTTATCAAAAGCTCTTCCAATATCTAAAAAAATGTAGTGCTCATTTTGTAGTTAAATCCCGCTGTTATATATTCTGTGATCCTCAGTGTTTATTGTTCTGAATGGCGAGATTTAATGCCAAATTGGAAAGTTGGTATCAATTCTAGTTCATCAATGTCTTCTATCAATCTAGGTTTAATGGGTCTTCCTATGGTTTTAGATAGTGAAGGTAAGAGGCTTATTGGTCTGTAATTTACTGATAAGGACGCATTTTTTTCCAAGCTTCTTTAGAACAATGATGTATGACTTCTTCCAAGCAGTTGGGAAGTAATTATTTCTGAATATTAAATTGGCCAGGTTTGCTTCAGCTATGTAGGCTTTTCTAGGTAGTTCTTTGACCATTTTGTTGCGTACATCATCAATTCCTGGAGCCTTTTTTGTTTTAATTCTCTTAATTAGTTCTTGAATTTCTTTAGGGGTGACGTATTTGTTAGAGATTTTGGGTGTCTGTGTGATTTGTTAGGGATTTTGGGTGTCTGTGTGTTATTTGGATTTCTTATTGCTGCATTAATTTCCTCAATTTGTTCTGGATCTTCGTTTTGCACTTCATTTTCTGTAAATATAGACTCAAGGGTGTTTGCAAAAGCTTCAGCTTTTTCATACTCCGAATAAGCCATTCCATTTGTTCCATGAATTAGTGGTATTATATTTTTAGGTCGTCTTAGGGCTTTTTGCATGGTCCAACCTGAGTTATCTGAAGTTTTAAGGCTCCTTATTTTATCATTCCATTTTTTGTCCCTTCTGTGATTTTTTAATGCTATTTTCAGTTCTTGTGAATGTTCGTTTAATGTTATTTTGGAATCTTGATGTCTGTTGGTGGCATATATTTTGCGCAACCTCAGGTTTTCTCTGATTAGGGTCTGTATGTTTATAGGAAAGTCTTCTATGGATCCTTTTTTAATAATTTTAGTGTCTGAGTTATTCTCATATGCCTGTAATATTGCCTGATGATATGACTCTACTGCTAGTTCTATATGTTCATTTGTTGTTATTTTTGGAAGCGGGAAGGTATTCTTAAGGCTGTTTTTAAAAGCAGCAATTTGTTACAGTTTTTTTGATTGAATTTTTGGAGTTTTGTCCTTGACCTATCTTTAGAATTATGGGATTGTATATTTTTTAATATTGCTATATCCAGTACTTCTGGAGTACCATTGGCTCTTAGGAGAAATGTTGGAGAAGTTGGTCCTATTACAATAGCTCCACAGTTTTCTGTAAACCTAGCGAGTCTACCCCCATTTGCGCATTGGCATGTGCTGTTCCAAATCCTTGACTTGCAATTTACATCCCCTATAATTATTTTGGGAATATTATTCCTGAGTAGGTTGTTAATATCATCAGCTTGCAGTACTTGCTTGGGTGTATTATATGCTGTGGTCACTAGGTCCTTTCTACCATTAATTGTAGCTCCAACAGTCAGATTTTCAATGTTGGATTCTGTGCTACCTACAAGATTATGCGTAATATTGTTTCTGACAATTATAGCCACTCCATTTTGTCTTGGGGTAAGCGCCTCTTTTCTATAGACGACGTTACCTTGTAAGGACAATCTGTGAGCCTTAGCTGTTTTAGTTTCCTGCAATGCCAGCAGTTGAGGCTGATGTTCTACCAAAAATAATTCCACTTCTGATTTGCGAGATCTGACTCCATTAATGTTCCACGAAACGATGGGAAACATTATCGTTTTTTGTCTAAATAAGCATCTACAGCCTGCAGGATGGTTGGCATAATGGTCTTCAGCAGATCAGCTACATCACTATTTTTCTTATTAGCCCTATTGGCACTATCATTTTCAGAGGAAACTTTCGCTGGAGGCGTCTGCTTTGCTCCTTTGTTATAGGTTTGTTTATTCTGGAACCACTGTGTACATTTAGGACAGCCCCTGTCAGCCGGGTGTCCACAATTTCCACAGGTTGCGTTTCTTTCATTATTTGTGTATGCAGGAAGATCACATAATTTAGATGAGTGGTTTCTGGCACATTTAACACAACGTTCTGGCATGGAGCAGCTTATTTGCGTGTGTCCAAATCGCTGGCAGCGAAAACACTGTGAAGAGATTGTTGGTTTTCTTTTAGTTTCAGCTTTAACCATACCATGTCTACTAGTCTGGTGGTTTCGTACACTTTTTTTGAAGTTCTCTTGATAAGGAATAGTGGTAAAGGTAATGTCTTCATTTGGATTACTGCGAGGTCTTCAAGGCCTTTCAGGCCTTTTTGTTTCAGCTTATCGGTGATATAATCTACAGGCACAGTAATATAAACAACGTGATGTTTTGTTCCTTTGTCAAGGCTGTAAGTATAATAATGTCTATTTAAGCTGTTT